CTTAGAAGGCTACTGTGCATGTCTTCCAATTATTGATGTTTTGAGGATATTGTGAGAGATTTCTGAGAGTACTTGCATGAAACCAAAGATGAAAATCTTCTAGAATGTATATGGGTCAATATAAAAGAAAAAAAAGAATGACATGGCCATAGGTATATACTATAGGCCACTCAATCAAACAGAAAAAGTAGATATCTAGGATTCCGGTTTGCAAGGTTTCGGCGGCGGCAGGAATCTGCGTTCGTGCGCGGTTTCTGCTGCGCTCACCACTGGAGTGCCCCTGATCCAGCCGGATTTGGGGGCTAATAGTTACCCCGTAGAGGTAACTGAAGACAGGGGAGATCCAGCAGGGGTCCAGGGGAATTGCAACCCCCCTCCTCAGCTGGCTTAACTCCCTTTTCCGAAGGCGGTGGAGCGGCGGTCAGCAATGGACGCCACAAAGAAGCTTTCATCCAGATAAGAATGTGCAGGAGGAAGCTGAGAAAGTGAAAGTTCTGGCTGACCGGGATAATAAATAGTATTTAAATACCCTGGAATTTTAATTTCGTCAAAGATACATCGTTCCCAAAGAAGATTGGGAAAAGCGGCGGATGAAAGTTAAAAGGGAAAGTTTGTTTTTTCTCACTCTCCTTCCTTACGGTGATAGCAGATGGAAATAGGAAAAACCCGTTCTGGCACCAGCAGGTAATTAAATTTGAAAGTTAAAGCCAAGGGGACATTAAAGATTTCTGAACACTGAAAAAAAATTTTTTTTTTTTTTTGCTATAAGTGGGAAGGGAGAGGAAAAGAATTAATATTAAGATTTTGCTGGAGGAGGCTGCTTGGAACTTATAAGACTCGAGTTAAATTGTAACAAGACTTCTAAAAGATACATTTTGGAACTTTGCACTTGAACTGTACCCCAGGAAGACAAAGTATAAAAAGAAGAAAGTGCTAAATGAAACAGTTCATGTGTATTTGGATTGCTTGGTGACCTTGGGACCTTTGGAAATTATTATTTGAAAGACTAAAAACTTTTGGGTTTTTTAAAAAACTTTTTCACAATGGCATTACTTGTTGATGAACTGAAATTGGAATTTAAAAAGCTAAAAGAAGAGGAACAAGAAGGGAAGGGCTCTTCTGGATCTGTTTTTCATTTTTTAGAAATGGCGATTTCTACCTATCAGCAATTACAAGAACAAGAAGGTTGGGATGAAGAAGAAGAAGAAGCCATCTTTAATGAACAAACAACTTTAGTTGGGGAAGAAAAGGGAAAGAGGGGAAAGAGAATGGAGAATTTAAGACTTAAAAAAACAACCAAAAAAGGGAAAAATAAGGTGAAAAATCGATACACTGTCAGAAAGCAACAGAAAAGAGGAATACAGAAGAGGGTGGAGATTAAGAGGGTGGAGATCAAGAGACAGGGGGTAAAAAGACTAGATTGGAGAAGAAAGGAGGGGGGAAAGGAAGAGAAGTTACAAAGGTTTGAAACAAGATGTAAAAAACCAGGATTTATTCAGAGATAATGGGTAAAAATATAATTAAAAAAGAGATTCTGCAAAAGTACATAAGACTATATTGTTGTATTTGTATTTGAAATAATGTTAGAAAACTGGAACATTATATGATTATAAAATGGGATAAAATATTAAAAGGAATGTGTAAAATGTTTAAGATTTAATGATAGAGTTTAATTTGCTATGGATTATTGTTTTAATTATATTATAAACTTATTATTTTCTTATTTTAAAATATAGTACGTAGCTTTAGAATGTACTAAGCAGAATCAGAATGAAAATGATATATTATTTTAAGTGTTAAATTTAGGGGAAAGATATAAAGGTGTCATACTTTAATCAGTGATTACAGGAGAAATTTTGTGCTAATGAGAAAAGATAATAGATAATTGAAATAGAACAGACAAATGATACAAGCATAATGATTTAAATTGAGATGAAATAAATAAGATAGAATTAAGAGAGTGAAAAGAGGGGAGAAGCTATATAGAAAATGTAGAATGGTAAATAAGATATGAAATGGTATATAAAGTGAGCATGAATTTGATTTATGTCTGTACAAAAAGATGTAACCCGGGACTAAGCCGCTTTCCAAAAGGAAGTTTTATGTTTTCATGTTTTGTGTTTTGTTTGTGTATGTTTGTTTATTGAAAATTAATGAAAAATTTATTAAAAAGAACAAGTAGATATCCTTTTGCCAACCAACTAATAAATATATGTTAGGAAACACACTACAATAGTAATGGGGGACTTCAATTACCCTGATATCAATTGGAAAACTAATTCTGCACCAAGTGAGAAATCAGATAGGTTCCTAACCAACCTAGTTGACAACATTGTTGTCCAAAAGGTTGAGGAGCGAACTAGATGGACAACCATACCAGACTTAATACTTACAAACAGAGAAGAAATTATAGAGGGAGTTGAAACTTCAGGAACCTTGGGAGAGAGTGGCCATGTCATACTAGAATTCAACATAACACAAACTCAAGCAATAGAACATAATGACACCAGAGTCTTAGATTTTAAAAGAGCTGATTTCAATAAACTCAGAACTTGGGAAAGAATCCTTGGATGAAAATCCTAAAGGGCAAAACAACTCAAGAATCTTAGGAAACTCTGAAAAGTATGATCATAAAAACTCAGACCAGCACAATACCACTGAGAAAGAAAAACAACAAATCCAAGAAGAAACAAGCATGGCTGTACAAAGATCTCTCTGACAAATTGAAAGACAAAAAAATGGAAAGTGGGACACATAACTAGGGCAGAATATCAGCAGATAGCCAGAATCTGCAAAGACAAAGTCAGGGAAGCAAAGGCTCAGAATGAACAAAGCCTTGTAACAAAAGTCAAAGATAATAAAAGTTTTTTCCAACGTATAAATAACAAGAAAAAAAATCAAGGAAACAGTTGGTTGACTAAAGACAGAAGATGGCAAGGAAGTAACAGGCAACAGAGAGAAAGCAGAGCTGCTTAACTCATTCTTTGAATTCTTCACACAAAAAGAAACTATAGCCCAATGAATCAAAAACAAAACTGTAAAAGACAGATTAGAAACAAAAGTTAAAATAAGCAAAAAAAAAATAGTAAGAGAACGCCTGTCTGATCTTGATGAATACAAATCACTGGGACCTGACGGATTACATCTCAGAGTTCTAAAGGAGCTGGGAGAGGTCACAACTTTCAAAAATCCTGGAGCATCAGGGAACTACAAGAGGACTGGAAAAGAGCTGATGTGGTTCCCATCTTCAAAAAAGGAAAAAAAAACAGACCCAGGAAACTACAGACCCAATCAGCCTAAAATCAGTACCTGGGAAGATACTGGAAAAGATAATAAAAAAACCCAGATCTGCCAACATCTACAAACAAGTAAAGTAATAACTAACAGTCAGTACGGGTTTGTTAAGAACAAGTCATGCCAAACCAATCTTATTTCATTCTTCAACACAGTGACTAAATTAGTAGACCAGCAAAATACTGTGGACATAATATATTTAGATTTCAGCAAGGCAATCGACAAAGTAGACCACAACCTACTTCTTAGTAAGCTAAAAAAATGTGGAATAGACAGCACCACCACTAGATGGACTCGCAACTGGCTGACAAACCATACTCAATGAGTAGTCCTTAATGGGTCTAAGTCTACATGGAGGAAGTAAGCAGTGGGGTACCACAAGGTTCCGTCTTAGGCCCAGTTCTCTTCAATATCTTCATTAACGACTTAGATGAAGGAATAGAAGGGGAATTTACCAAATTTGCAGATGATATTAAGCTGGCAGGAATAGCTAACACCCAAGAAGATAGGCTCAAGATCCAGATGGATCTTGACAGACTAGAACACTGGGCCATATCTAATAAAATGAAATTCAATATAGAGAAAAGTAAAGTCCTACACTTAGGCAAGAAAAATCAAAAGCACACATATAGATTGGGTGAAACCAGACTTAATAGCTTTAACTGTGAGAGGGTTCTTGGAGTCTTAGTGGACAACCAGCTAAATATGAGCCAGCAGCGCAGCAGCAGCAGCCAAAAAAGCCAGTGCAGTCCTAAGTTGCATTAACAGAGGGATACAATCAAGATCAAGTGAGGTACTAATACCACTCTATAAAGCCTTAGTAAGACCACACCTAGAGTACTGCATCCAGTTTTGGTCACCACATTATAAAAAAGATGTTGAGACTCTAGAAAAAGTGCGGAGAAGAGCAACTAGGATGATTAGGGGACTGGAAACTAAAACATATGAAGAACAGTTACAGGAACTGGGCTTGGCTCATCTAGTAAAGAGAAGGACCAGGGGAGACATGATAGCAGTGTTCCAATATTTGAGGGGCTACCACAGAGAGGAAGGGGTCAAGCTATTTTCTAAAGCACCTGTAGGCCAGACAAGGAATAATGGATGAAAACTGAACAAGGAGAGATTTAACCTGGAAATAAGGAGAAATTTTCTGACAGCGAGAACAATCAATTAATGGAACAGCTTGCCTTTGGAAGTTGTGGGAGCTTCATCACTTTCAAGAAGAGATTGGACTGCCATTTGTCAGAAATGGTGTAGGGTCTCCTGCTTGGGTGGGGGTGGTGGACTAGATGACCTACAAGGTCCCTTCCAACTCTGTTAATCTATAATCTTTTTTTCCCTCTCATTATCTACTGTTCTCAGAAATAATGGGCTGTGCACCCACCATCTGTTACTTTCCTTGGTGATTCTCAGTTTTGGATCTTTGATTTTGTTTCATTACCAATAATTGCTCACAGGATATTAACTATGTTATATGAAGATGATGAGAATTATATCTAGCAACATCTGGAGATCAGAAGTAGGGAACTATTATTCCAGAACATATCTGGACTCCTGAAAGCTACAGAAAAGACATGAAATCAGAGTATGTGAGTAATTTCTGGACCTGCTTTGGTGTTTTTAGTCACAAAGTTCAGGTACCATTTACAAATTGCTTCCCTTTTGGTTTCCATTGCTATTTTTTGCTGGGTTTTTTTTTTTTACAGATTAATCTGGCTACCACATCAGCTGCACAATTAATCAGTCGCTCACAAAGCGTGAGTTCACCTGGTGCCACGACACTGACACAATCAGTCCTTCTAGGAAACACCACTTCACCACCTCTTAACCAGTCACAAGCTCAAATGTATCTTCGGGTAAGAGTGCAAGCATTGTTTTCATTATAAATCCTCTTTATCTTCTTGTAGTTTATCATCTCTCTCTGCTTTACAACAAACCAGCTGTGAGTTAGCAACCTCTATTCCCTTGAACACTTCAGTGTATATATACTGCAGGGACAAAGGATCATTTAGAATTTTATCTTCTGTGATTTTAGAGACCTTTAAAGGGAGTTTCAGGACATTTTATCAGAACAAAAATGTCATCTTTCGGCTGTAGCTCTTACATTTGTTTTAAAGATGCTCTAGAGAAAATACTCCCATTCTGCTATTTAGGGAAGATTTGCTGGGAAGATTTGGCTCTTCATCTAGGCCAGGGGTACTCAAATTTTTTAAACAAGGGACCAATTCACGGTCTCTCAGACTGTTTGGGGGGGCAGAGTGGTTGGGGGGCTAGGTGGTCATGTGACTGGGTGTGCATGGCCAATTTCACAGTCCAATCTTCAGTTGCACTCTGCCAGCCAAAAATATTGGCCTTACCTTCCAGTTCCAGCAGGGCTTGCGAAAGTAAGTCCTGCGCTCGGCTGGCGGGTGGGGACTGGTGGGTGGGCGGGACAATGTGGGCAGGCAGCCTTGTCCCACACGGGCCAGGTTAATGGTTTTGGTGGGCCATATGAGGCCCGCGCGCTGTAGTTTGACGACCCCTGATCTCGGCCTTCAATGGTACCAGTGATAGCTCTCAATTGTGTTTGCCATATTTTTTCTTTATTTTTTATGTTTTGTTGTAATTTCTTCAATTGTTGTAAGTCACTCAGAGTGATTGAGAGTTGAGTAACAAACAAGGGTAAGAAGTTATTATGACTGGTTGCACAATCAGTCAGATGTTTAGACTGGCTTTTATTATTTATTAATATAATTTCCATATTTGTGGGGCCCAGACACTCTCTCCTTCAAACGATAAGAATGAACTTCTGAAAGCTGGGTATTTCAAAAGGAATTCTTTATTGAAACGGAAGTTATCTAGGTACTAGTCAAAGCAGGGTCTAATATGCCTCAAGGCATACAGCATAGATAAAGGGAGTTAGAACCCCTCCCCTTAGTCTGATGTGGATTTCGTCAATACAAAGAAGCAACATGTTAATTCCCCCACCCCTTTTCTGGGAACATAGTTGAGAAAAGTTTCACAGGAAGTTTCTTTCAGAGCTGGAATTTTTATGGCCCCTTCTCCTCTTGCTATCTCTCCAAGAGGTGACAAGTTTCCAGGCATCTGGGTTCCAGTCCCCAGTTGTATATCATGTGCAAGTTATACAGATTCAATACAAGACTTAAGATATTCAGGTTACATCAAAAAGGATTACTTGTACCAGCTCCCCCCCCTTCCATTGAAGAATGGCAGATACACGGATCTGACAATATTCTTGTATCAGTATTCTAGTTTACTATCTTTCTTGTTTTTATGACTATATGGAGGGTAAACCATAATTTTAATAAGGCTACTTTTGAAAGAAATGTACTCTCTCTCCTCCCATTGCCTGTTTGGGTATTAATTGCATATTTGTGAAAACTTGCTTGGTTTCAGATTTTCGTTTTAGATTTAGTGAATGTGTTCTGTTCATTATAGTTCTGTGATATGAAAATACTGTTTCTTAACTATCACAAATAGTACAGGTCCTTACTTTTGCTATCCATCCTTCATTATTACTTGTGAACTAATGGATAAATCGTTAGGTATCTGTTGTTGGCACAATAGTGGGGAAAAATGATAATTTGTCCTCTGTAAGTAAGTAATGTCTGTTTTTTATCTGATGAAGACTGCAAATACAGAATGAGTTTCTGTTGGAGACCCTAGATCCATGACAGATTATAACATTTTTGCTTTTGGTTCATTTTCTTTCTTCCTCTCTCTTTTACTGTCCCACCTCCACACCATCTAATCTTTCCCAAACAGCCACAGCTGGGGAATCTGTTGCAGGTGAACCGGACCTTGGGCCGCAATGTACCTCTTACTTCCCAGCTCATCTTGATGCCAAATGGGGCTGTGGCTGCTGTTCAGCAGGAATCACCTTCCCCTCATGCTCCTGGGATCCACACAGACACAGACCAGGTCAGTAACACCCTTTTCTGAGGGCTCCCGTGACCAGCCTGACATGTCCTAATTTTATGTGTATACTTAAATTTCACAGTGTCACTAATGGAGCATTAATTTTATGCTTTGTTCTTGTTTCATAACGGCATTCATCATTTACTACACACATCATTGTTGTAGAGAGAATTTATCCAGTTGAACAGCTATACTAATGTTTATGTCTGTTGTATCCTTGATCTCAGAATATGTACTGGAGTTTGCTCAGAACAGTATTTATATGGGGGAAAGATGTTTTTATCTAGTTCTGCCCAGGAAGTGCCATGTGATTTTAATTTTAAAGAGAAGAGATTAAAACTTTGCCAAAGTAACCAATTCTTTTATAAATTACTTGATCCTCTTTCCCTATGGTATTTAACAATATTGGCTAATATCTTTTGAACCCAGGAGAAATTGGGCAGTTTTCCTGCAGATTCAATTTCAGGACACTGCCCTTTGAAACCTACAGTAATGGCTTATTCTTTTTCCTTATATTTTCCAGGTGCAGAATTTGGCTGTCAGGAGCCAGCAGACTTCAGTAGCTAATGCACCACTCCAAGGTTCTACTCCAAAGGCTACTTTGCCAGGGAATTCCCAGTCTTCAGTACTACCCCATGCTGGCCAAACATTGACAGTAACCCAAGGATCTTCTGGCAATGTAGGCCAGTCACTCAATCTAAGCCAAGGTGCAGCAGGAAGTAATGGCATTTCTGGAGGTATGGCCTCGTCAGTAGGCAGTCATGCTACCACTGGGTTGAACCAGTCAACTTCATCCGGCCCAGGATCCAGCTGCCAAAGGAAAGGCACTGGTGTGGTTCAGCCTTTACCAGTACCTTCTGCTCCCCAGGCAGTGACTGTGAGCCAAGGAAGTCAGACAGAGGCAGACAGTATGGCAGCAAAGAAAGCTGAAGGTGACGGTAATGGGCAACAGACTGTGGGCATGAATCTGACCAGGACAGCTACACCAGCTCCAAGCCAAACTTTGATCAGCTCTGGTATGTTACATGTGATTCTTTTCTTTGTGGGAAACCTGCCAATGAATTCTTGAACTTTTTTGTATTCTTTGACAAGGTTCACTGCTTTTATAATTGCTACATGCCATAGGAAAGATAGACTTTAATATGGTGTAGCCAATTGGTACTACTCACTGCTGTGTTGGATTAGATTGGAGCAAAAGTTCTTGTTCCTGGTAAAGAGAGCTGTGTTTTATCACACTGTCTTCATTCTCAGCAAGTGAACAGACAAAATTGTTTTTTGCAAGGATGAGAAATAAATCTATCACAAGGGCAACTTGTCCTTCTCTACCAGTGATATCAAGGATTGGACATACATAGTTCCTTTACAACAAGCAATGTTGCTCAACCTTGGCAACTTTAAGATGTGTGGATCTCATCATATGGCTGGCTAAATAATTGTGAGAGTTGAACTTAAAGTTGCCAAAGTTGCAAAGAAATATTGGCATAGAAAAAAAAAATGCTCCCGGTCTCTGCCTGCTTGGTGGAAAGGGTTAATCTTTGATTTGTGAATGTCTTTCTTCATCAATATTAAGAAGAGAACAGAAGGAAAAGGTTCAAGATACTGTCAACGAATCACCTTTTGCAGTTACATAGGTACGGTGAATCACCTTTTGCAGTTAGAGTAGGTACAATGAAATGGTTTTTAATTTGCTAGGTACTCTTAGCTTCTCATTTTCTTCATCTTCCCTAATTGTTATCTTTTAGGTATGGGTATCTGACTTCATTTTCTTACATTAAAGTACGTAATGATGATGCTAATGCTTTTTCTTGCTGTTCACAGCTACGTATACCCAAATCCAGCCTCATTCATTGATCCAGCAACAGCAGCAAATTCACCTCCAGAAGCAAGTGGTGATTCAGCAACAAATTGCTATCCATCACCAGCAGCCATTCCAGCATCGTCAGTCCCAACTCCTGCACACTGCTACACACCTCCAACTGGCCCAGCAGCAGCAGCAAGCTCCACCTATGACCCAGCAGCAGCAGGGGCCACCACAAATTTCACAACAAGCCTCATCTCTTCATGGCCAACAGCAAGCCCAAACTCTTGTTGTCCAGCCCATGTTGCAGTCACAACCTCAGCCAGTGCAGCTCCACCAGGACAGTCATTGCCAGACAGTCACTAAGACCTCTGTCCCTATTCAATCCAAGCCTCCCACAGCCCCTCTGAAACACTCACAAATTGGTGCGGCCAAAATGTCAGCTTCCCAGCAGCCCCCCCCTCATATACCAGTACAGATGGTAGGAAATCGTCAGCAAGGTTCAGCTCAGGCTCAGGCATTAGGGCTTCCTCAGATGAACACAGCTGTGCAGTCCCCCCGGGGTGTGCCAGCTGTAGTGCAGCCAGTATCCCAAACCCATACAGTGTCCTCATTAGCACAGATCTCTTCCTCTTCTTCCTCTTCTTCGGTATCATCATCACCACCACCACCTTCTCTTCAAGAAGCACTTTCTCCGCTCATTGCTGGAGCCAATGTAGCACAGGGCACAGTGCAGGTGAAGAGCACTACTTAATCTCCAATCCTTACTCAAGCATCAGCCACAGCATATTATGTACAGCCAGTCCAGTTATCAGTAAGTGGCCCCTTGCCAGTGTAGTGGGAAACAGAGTTGGAGGGGAACAGGTATAAAGGGCTAATTTCCCTACACAGGCTCATCACGCTAGTCTGTTATTTTAAAAAAATCATTTTGCATCTGAGGTTTTCATAACATCTAGTCAAATAAGGTGATTTTTAAATGAGTAATTTCCTTAAATTTTTAGATAAGTGAGACAAAAATTGTTGGTTTCTTTTGAGGAAAGGTGCAGTTGAAAGAGATAGGTAATCTCTGTTGTTTGTGGTTCTGCTGTTGCTTCTTTCCATACAGCCTTGATTTGATGGCTGGAATCCTGGATTTTAATAATACTTAAAATAAATTGTATAATATCTTTACTAAAATATATGTAACATTTCAAAGTGTTTCTCCTACACAGAGCAAGCCCCAGGCTTTGGCAGTCAAGCGCAAGGCAGAATCTGAAGAGGAGAGAGAAGACTCTAGTACACCATCTTTACAGGCTGTCAGATCTTCTCCTGTGGCTGAGAGCCCCAAAATCATAGAAGATAAGGGTGGCCTTGGAGGTGAGGAAAGCAGAGCTATATTTTTCATTGTTGTTGTGGTTCACACATAAGGATTCTGTGCCTGTGCATTAGCCTAATAGGATGTTCTGAACTATAGGATTTCTCCCAGTCTAAATAGTATAATATACATAAAGACATCACTCCTACTTTTCAGACTTCAAGCTCAAGGAGATGTTGCATTCAGAATGCTTGACTTCTGGGTATGCAAGAAACCATTGGACCTAGATCACTATGAGAAAAGGCAAAGAATAGAAGCTCAAATCTGAATCTGGTACTGAGTTTGCCAATCCTGCCACTTCAGTTATGATGGAGATGTTCTTCCTATTCTGCAGCTGCTATTTCTGTTAGCCTTTCCGTTATTGATTGCATAGAAACCAGTTTGTGACTGAGAGTCAACTCACTGATTTTTGTCTCATGAGGGAAAATTTGTGAATATATGCTCCCTGAGCGCATATGTATGTATGTATGTATGTATGTATGTTATGTCTCACCTATATTCATAGATGAGAAGACAAGGTTTCAGAATTCAAAATATTCAAGTAAGAACACAACTGGATTCAAAAGGGTTAATAGCACTGTTTTCCAGTCCTTGGCAGACTTCCCGGAACCTGTCAGGTTAATCAGAATTGTCCATAAATCACAAGGCCACTCCATAGGTATTCTTTCGACTCATCAAACACTTTGCTTCCAAGCGAAGTTTGAGAGTCAGCACGCCTCTTTAAATCACCTGGATAGGCGTGTCAGTCTCTCCAATCAATGTCTGGCTTGACGCCTCCCTTCAGATTGACGTTTCCTGGTTCTCCTAGTTCTGGCGTCAATCCACGATCTGTCAGTTTCCTCGCTGGAAACTTCTGTCTCATTTTGTTGATCATTTGCTGGCATGAACGAAGTTGAAGGTTCTGGGGAGGATTGTCTCTGCGACAATCTCTCATCCTCCTGGCTCACGTCTGTCCTCTGATAATTCAGACTCCACATTCATAGCAGGCTCCAACCTTCCATCTTCAGAGTCATCAGAGTCAAAACTCCCAGCAGGATCGATCCTTCCAGTCACAACACACACACACACACACACACACACACACACACACATATATATATATATATATATATATACATACATACATACATACATACATACATACATACATACATACACGGCAAATTCACCTCCAGAAGCAAGTGGTGATCCAGCAACAAATTGCTATCCGTCACCAGCAGCCGTGATCTGAGGTTATGCATGATGCATACCAAGTGAATCAGATTTTCTGTAGTTTTAATTTTTTGTGTGATGTTCTCTTTGGATCTGACACAAAAGATATTACAGTAGAAGTATGTTCAGGATCATTTTTCTCTGTCACATCATTATTTCTCTCCCCATCTGCTCATTTGGATTATAACTAGATAATTCACCCTTATCCATTGTAGGCTTCTCTTATCTGAATTTTAGCTTAATATCATCAAGGCATATTAATGGCCAGTGCTAATCATTTCTATCAGGCAAGACGAAATATTTGAGGTATGCAAAAAATGAAGAAAAATGTTTTATTTCATTCCCCCTTCTCCCCTCCAAAAAAGTTACATTCTGGAACTTCTGCCATATCAGAACCTTCTGAAAAGTCATTTTGGCTTGAGACATGGTTGAACTCATGGGTTCAGGCATCTGCCAATACCATCTGATAATTGCAGTAACTTGTTGGTTTATTGCTTCATTTTATTTCCGAGGATAGTTGTAGCAATTCTTACTTAATTTAATCATTCACAATATTTCAAAGTTGGAGAATTTCTTAGATTTAAAAACAAATTCCCCAAAACAACATCTTTTATTAACACAGGTGAATGAGTTTATTGGCAATCATCAAGATACGACCAAGAAAGCTGCTGTCCTTTAAGATCATTTTGAGCAGTGGCCCCCAACCTTTTAAGTACCAGGGACTGGTTCCATAGAGAAAGGTTTTTCCGTGGACAGGAGGGGCGTGCTCCTGCATCCCATGGATGGGGTTTCACTTATTTGCGCAACCCCATTGCTGGCATGACACAGACCATTGCTTATCTATGGGCTGGGGGTTGGGGACCCCTGATTTTGAGTATGATGATTATCTGTTCTCAAGTATATCCTCTCATTTTCCTACCTGAGCCTAGTTCATCTTACATCTCCTAGGGTACGTGGTGTCCTTAACTCCCATCAGATGCTTTGTTCTGGGTATTTCAAACATGATTTTTCAAGTTGTTTCCTGTTCCCTCCTCTGCTTCCTTTTTACATGGGAAGTGTCTTTATCTCCCTGCTTTGTTAGATAGACATGAAAACCTTCAGAAGGGAACTTCTTTTACCAGCCCCAAACAATCTACTGTGTTGATCATCAGGGCATAAGGTAGACTCTCATGCCCAGTAGATAGGGAGGAAAGCTGTGATATCTATTTAAGAGTTTGTAGGCATCCAAAGAGCTTGCTTAGAGGCCATATTGTCTGGGTGATTATGAACAATTTTGTAATAGCTTGTTTAAACAAATGGGGTGGAATAATGTCACCTTTGATTCAGTTTCAGTTACGAGAAAGGAGCACAGCCAGGTATACAATGTTCATGAAACAGACAATATTCTTGAATTCCTAGATATTGAATGTGAATGATGACTGTATAAATAAATTATTCAGTCATTAAGAGAGGAATATCAGTCACAGATCTGTGGTCCTGAAATTGTCTTTATGTGTTTGTGACATTTCTTTTGGTTGTTCAGAAAAGAGCCAAGGCTCTTCAGGAAAGTCTTGACTGCATTCTAATGGAGTTTTTGTTGTAGCTTTCCTAAGCATACTTCACCCTTTTCCTCTATTTTTGCTAGGAACACTATCCACTTTCTAGTTCAGTCTGACTCGATATGTAGTCTATTGGTGTGACAGCCCTCAAATTTTTCAGACTGCACAATGAAATAAATATCATTTCTTCTACTTGCTCACAAACTTATTCCTTAGTTTTGCCCAAGTTTCTCACATTTTAGATTTTCTTTAGTGACTCAATTCAAAGGGCTTTCATTTTAAAGGTGCATTTTGCTGTGATATCTTCAGTTTTGAATTGTTGCATCCAGTTGAGAGTTTTGAAATTTTTTGTAAAACTCAGCTTTTTGTCCGTTTCTCTGTCTTTGAGTTTTCCATAGGTTTTACCCATATTGGTATAAAAACTTTGAAACTATAACTGCCTGCCCTCTTTATTTTCGATCTTGGAAGATACCTTTTTGGATGACTATTATATGACTAAGGCATCTCATGAATTATGGTTTTGGTTGGACTTTTTGAACCTACCATATGAACAAAGTACAGTATTTCTTTTATCTCCACTTTTTAATTGAAAAAGGACTTAATTCTCTTTGCATTTTTCTCAGATTCCCAAATTATCTTGGAAAGGCTCAAGCACATACAGTGTATCTGGTGATTTTCTAACTTTTTAATACTATCTCCTGGTGGAAAAACCAGCATCTGTTTGTCTCCTGCTCTGGACTTTGGAAAGACAGTCTCATTTTTACTCAGTATCTTGCAAACTGGGTGGTACAGGTAGTCCTCAACTTACAACCACAATTGAATCCAAAATTTCTGCTGCTAAGCGAGATAATTGTAAAATGAATTTTGCCCCATTTTATGTACTCATACTTTTGAGGTAATTCCCCGTTAGGAGAATGAGCACGTACAGGGAGACGTATTTGAGAGTAGTGTTTGAATAACACACACACAGCAACACAGATACACTGTACAGTAAATGTAGGTTTTTACTTCCAGAAATATTAAGCAAAGTCCAAAAAAAAAACCAATCCAAAGTCATTCACAGGTAAATCAGTCAGTTTTTTCAATCCAGGGATAATTCAATAACAAAGTCCAGTGTCAAAAACAGTTCAGTAACAGACTTACATTAAATCCAGAAAATGTCAGTCAATTAGGAAAAATGGAGGAACGGCAATACTTTCCAACAGAAGGAAACAGAGATACACTCACACTCTCTTCTGAGACTAAGGCTAAGACTAAACAACCCAGGTTTCTGGCTCCATCTTATGGCCGTTTGAGAAACCACACCCAAGTGCAGTTTTTACCATGCTCTTAAAGAGACAGTATTAAAATGTCTATCCTGGTTTATATATTTCTAACCCAAATACCTGTTAGGTGACTTATATTCCTTACATTCTCCCCTTTTGAGTAAGACAATATATACAACCTTACATTCTAAGGCCATAATTTTCACAGCAAGCTTTATAGAGCCTTGGGCCTTTGTAAAATGAACTGCTATATTGTTTTCTGACATACAATATTCTAGCTTAATCATTTTACTTTTCACACATTGTCTCACATTTAAATATCTTAAACCTGTGTGTTTCGTTCTTGTTTTAACAGCAATATTTGAAGCCATCTGTATTGCTGATTGGTTATCTTCGTAAACAACAATAGAATCTGTTACATCAATTCCCATATCAATCAATAGTTGCTTATACAAAACAAAATCTCTACATAATAAAGACAAACATGAGAATTCAGCCTCCATTGTTGACAAACTTAGATGTTTCTGTCTCATAGATCTCCATCCAATCAATGCCTTTCCCAATAATACTACAGTGCCCGATGTAGATTTTCGTGTATTTATGTCTGTAGCAAAACTTGCATCAACATATGCAGTTAAATTCAGTTCATCTTTAGGCTCCAAATACAATGCATAATGCATTGTTTGCTTTAGATATCTTAACACACCTTTAGCAGCTTGCCAGTGCCTTCCAGTTGGCTCAGCGTTAAATCTAGCTAATCGATTAACACTGTATGCAATATCTGGTCTTGACCAATTACTGAGATAAGACAAATGACCAATCAAGGACTGATAAATGTTCTTATCAAAAATAGGACTTTGAACATCACGATGGCTAAACTCCTGGCTCATTGGTGTTTTAGCCGGTTTACAAAGTTCTATTTTAAAACTTTTTAGTAATTGGTTAATTTTATCTGCCTGTGAGATCTTGTATCCTCCCCTAATTGTATCTATCTTTAAACCAAGATATTGTTTGATTTCTCCTGTTTTATCTTAAATTTCTTTTCCAATAGTGAAATTATCTCAGTAGCTTTTTGTTCAGTTTTGGTGATTAATGCTATGTCATCAGTAAACAATAGCAACAATGAAATCAAACCATTACCGTATATACTCGAGTATAAGTCGACCCGAATATAAGCCGAGGCACCTAATTTTGACACAAAAAACTGGGAAAACTTATTGACTCGAGTATAAGCCGAGTTTTTCAGCACATTTTTTGTGCTGAAAAAAACCCCCTTGGCTTATACTCGAGTGAGATTCCCTCTGAAAAAAAAATGGTGTGGAGCTCCAGAGCTGGGCAGCTGCTTCCCTGCTTCCGTGTTTCCTTTGCAACTTGTAAGCATGGGGGTAATCGGAAGCAGAAAAGTTCTTGCATGAGGATATATTGTTTTTTCTTTATTTAACTGTTTGTAGGGGTGAGAAAAGACCCACCGTCATGTGAGAATGCTCAGACACGAAATCTATCCGCCTGAAAATAAATGTGTGTGTGTGGGGGGGGCATTTTAACAGAGTGAAGACATAGGGAGAAGGCAAAAGCGACGGAAGATCATTCAGGGGAAACTGAGGGGGAGACTCACCCTTGGTCCAGATGAGCCCCCTTCCCCGCCCCTAAGGAAGCAGAGGCAGCCAGCAAGGGCAGGCAAGCCCCGCTTCGCGGACTCCATCCATCCTCACTCCTACCCACCCACCCAAAGCCACGAAGTCCCCCAATCGCTCAGCCCAGAATCGCCCTCCCCTCAGGGGGCAGCAATGACGCCCGGTGTTTCCTGAAACAAGCTCCGCCATGCAATGAAAGCGCCATGGCTCTAGGCTCAGAAAACAATGCGAGCCGAGGTGGCTTCGTTTCCTCAGCCCCAGCTGCTTTCAGTCCACTCGGGAGGAGGAGGAGGAGGAGGAGGAGGTGGTGGCGGCGGCTCGTGTTGTTTTCTGAGCTCTAGGCTCTAGGCTCGCGATCTCAGAAAACAACATGAGCCAAGGTGGCTTCGTTTCCTCAGCCCCAGCTGCTTTCAGTCCGCTTGGGAGGAAGGGGAGGAGGAGGTGGTGGTGGCGGCTCGCATTGTTTTCTGAGCTCTAGGCTCTAGGCTCGCGATCTCAGAATGCCTTTTTGGCTATGTAGTGACAGTGGGCTCTAGCACTTAGACCATTAGAGATGAGTATTCCAAGATCCCTGACAGAGTTTGGATCATCAACAAGGTTTTGACTATTCAGCCTGTATTTTATTTTCTGATTTTTTTTGCCAATATGTAGGACAGAGCATTTATTTGTTGAGATTTGAAGTTGCTATTTGTTTGACCATTCTGATACATAGTCAAGATCTTTTTGAAGGGTAGCAGTATTGTCTGTGGTATTGAATAGCTTTACATCATCAGCGAAGAGAACGCAGTTGCTCTTAATATGATCACAGAGGTCATTTATGTAGAGTATGAAGAGAGTTGGTCCTAGAACACTGCCTTGGGGGACACCACTGTTGACAGATACAGAATTTGATAGGGCGCTCCCAATTTTGACCATTTGTTGTCTGTTTGACAGGAATGCTTCTATCCAGTTATGCAGGTGTCCAGAGATTTTAGTTTTAGTAGTAGTTTGTCATGTACCACTGAATCAAAGGCTTTATAGAACTCTATGTAGATTGCGTCTATTGCTTTGCCCTGATCAAGTTGTGTAGTCCATATGTTTTTGCAGTGTAAGAGTTGCAGATTACATGATAGTTTTTTCCTAAAACCAATTTGTTTATTAGAGAGTAAGTTGTTTGTTTCTAAGTGGAGGATGATGGATTGGTTAATAATTGATTCCATGACTTTACAGGTGACGCAGCATAAAGAGATTGGTCTGTAATTTTCAACTAAGCTGGGGTCTCCCTTTTTGAAGATGGGGATGACCGTGGCTTGTGACCATAGGTTAAGCAAGGAGCTGGTCCTGAAAGATTTTTGAAAGATTATGCTTAGAGGTGTGGCTATGGCAGTGGATAGCTTTTTTAAGAAGTAGGCACATATTCCATCCGGTCCAGTAGATAGAGATGGTTTTAGATTGCACAATGCTTTTGCAACAATGTCTTCCGTAAAATCGATATGTATTAGATCATTGTAGTTGTCTGTGGTTTGACTAGGAAATACTGGGCATGATCCATTGCTGTTTACAAATACTGAGCCAAAGAACATGTTAAAGAGGTTGGCTTTAATAGAGTCGTCATCGCAGTCTTTACTATTAGGTCCTTTCGGGGGTGGGATGGACCTTGAGTCTTTTACAAAATTGTAGAAAGCGCAGGTGGAATTGGTGCGTAGAAGGTTTTCTTTTTGTTTAATGTGATAATCGGTGCATTCAGTTTTTATCTGGTGGCATAAATTTTTGTATCGGCTTTTGAAGTTGGCAACGTGACCAGATTTGTTTTTCCGCCAAAGTGATTTCTTTTTGGATTGACGCTTCCTTATTGTTTTGGGTAATTTTTTTTTTCTGGTTTTGGGAGTTGTTAATGGTACATATAGTTTGATGGCTCTTTTGACTTCAAGTAAAAATATGTTGTAATGGTCTTCTACAGTATTGCATTCAGAAAATAGAAATTGCCAATCAAGGAATGAGAGATCATTGTTTATAAGATCATAGTTGCCTTTTTAAAAATTATAATTGGGGATTTTGTCATTGTGATGATTTTTGTGTGGACGTATGTTGAGACAAAAGTCAATCATGTTGTGGTCACTGTTGGAAAAGGGTTTTTTAATTTGTATTCCATAAATTGAATTCAAACTGTTGCAGAAGATGAGATCAAGGCAGTTGTTAAGTCTAGTATTGTTGTTTACTAGTTGTTCTAGTCCCAGATTTGTTACTGCATTGTAGAAGGTTGCATGTGTGGGTTCAGTTGTACATTCGTTAAGGGTCCAGTTAATATGAGGTAGATTGAAGTCACCAAGAAAGATAATAGGTATGGGAAGGATGCTGCCCATATTAGTAGCGTATTTAGCTTGTTTGCATGTTCAATGTCATAATCAGGGGCTCTGTAACATAGTAAGAACTGAAATGTGATATTTAAGGACAGTTCATAGTCTCAGGAATAGCAAGCTTCTGGGTAACTTGGATGTTTTTTAGATGTAAGGACTTTTTATAGAAGATAGCAACACCACCTCCTCTACGGATTTCATGATCTGATCTTATGGTAAACATGATAGTCTATTACTGTGGTAATGGAGTCAGGGAGAGATGCGTTGAGCCATGTTTCACAGACAAATATAATGTCAAATTTAGCCTTATTTAGTAAGAGGAAAAATTCAGGCATTTTATTTACAAGGCTTCTTGCATTGAGTAGCTTGCATTTAAGGCCAAATCTAAATTCACACATCCTACCCAATTGACACATTGAGTTCACTTTAATTTTAAGATGGTGTTTATGCCCTTCAGAATGTATAGAAAAGTACAGAGAAATAGAAAATATACAGCAACCATCAGTAAACCATGAACATTACCCAGGAATACCAGATAGGTTGAGAAAGAAACTCAGGATTGCCCTGTTTTGAGTCTTATTGGTATAAGAGGGAAGGAAGGGGGGAAACTGTTAGATTTTCAAGTTTTTTTATAGGCTAAATAGAGTTTTAGTATTTCTTGTGTCTGTTTCCTTGTCTTTGCCTACCTGAAAGGACTGACAACTGAGTGAAATGATAAGTGCACTATTGAGGACAGTGGGTGTCTGTCTGTTGGAATGGATATTACATAGGCACAAACCCATATGTGTAAATTCATATAAAACATCAGATTACTTTAGAGGTAAATCACAAGTTTTTTCTAGTTGGGGATTGAGGCATTTGTACTGTGGTGGGATGCAAATATTTTTACTACCGGTTCTGTGGACGTGGCTAGGTGTGCATGGCCTTGTGACTGGAAACCCCCCCCCCGCCCCCGCTCCGGGTTTTTTTTTTTTTTTGCCTCCTGGGTCTCAGGGAAGCCTACTGGGCAAAGCAGTAAGACAGCAAGGGAGATCCCAGCACAGCTGATCATCAAAACAGCTGATCATCGGGCAGGGGAGAGAAAGAAATACCAGTTGGGCCAAACGGTAACATTTTTTACTACCGGTTCGCCCGAACCTGGCCGAACTGATGGAATACCACCACTGATTTGTACATGAACAGAATCTTAATGATGCTATATCAAGAAATATAGTAAGGCCTCTGAATCTTGGGAAATGTTTAGGACCAAGCTTTGTTTCCACATATAATTTTCTCACCTCCATGACTCATAAATATACTGTTCTCTCTGGTCCTCAATCAGCATGTGATTTTCCTATGAGTAGAAATAGACATGAGAAGTTGAGATCAATATGTGAGACCCCTTTGGAAGAAATTATTATAAGCAGTAATTGTCCTGCTATATCATCCATCCTAACTACTATTGAATCTTCAAATTCTGTAAGGGGATTAAATACTGTTTAACAAATATAATGATGCTGACTCCATCATGTCTGCGTTTTCAAAGGTCTTAAGACTTGGTTATGCCTGAGAACCTTGGAAGACCAGCAAACTAGTGAGGTGGCTCCATTATTATTAATATCACCTGTTGTTTTTTAGCTATGTTTTAACATTTTCAATGTTTCAATGTTTTTATTTCAATCAATCAGATAATAGGATACCTAAATATATACCAGTTCAACAATATATGCAATTCCCACATAGAATTATATTTAACAAAGAATATGTGGATTTAATTTTTATAAAACAAATCCTTTTTGTTAAATATACAGCAGTTTTAAATTTTACTTTGTTAATGATGTTTCTGTTTTAGAGAAGACTGACTCTGTCACCAGTGGTACTCTAAATGCATCCCCAGATCCCAACTCTGCAAATCCAACAATTGCTTCTGTTCCTACACTGGCTGTGTTGTCACGTCAGACTGGAGATTCCAAACCCCCACAAGCCATTGTCAAACCTCAGATTCTTACACATATCATAGAGGGCTTTGTTATTCAAGAAGGGGCAGAGCCTTTCCCGGTAAGAAGGTTGTTACCATAGCATTTTGATCCTTTTTGTCATTCTAAATTGATAAATCTCAATTATGGGGGAATAGATGAAAATGATGAATCTTTATTTTTATTTTTTTTGTATTACAGGACAAGTATTAGTTTGCTAGTGCAGCACAGTGGCAGTATTTACAATGACAACATCTATTGATGTTCTAGTTTAGATCTGTGATATTTTTAGCCTAATAAACATAATCAACTACAAACATTAAATCTTCTGACCCCAAGACCATTATAATTGCCCTCTATAAAATTCTGTTGTGGTGAATTAATTTGATATAAAACTTAACAAGCTAAATGGAAAAAAGATTTAGACTCTTGTCTAGGGCATGGTAGTTTTAATATCAGTACCAAAAATTTCATTAGATCTTGAATTATGACTTTTTCAATGCCAACAAAATATTATTTCAGAATTGTTGGACTCTTGCATTTATATAGAAAAGGCTACATAAACATAATAAAATTATAATATATAAATTGTTGTGATATTGGGATTACAAGGAGATTAATGGTTCTTATAAATTCATATTTCTTCCCTGTCCTGTAATTGTTCCATTGAGGTGGTTCATGAGCATATGTACTTTGATATGTTCAGAGTCTTTTGAATTATGTCCCTATTGCATAAAGGTAGACATCTGAATACAGAAAGTAGATTTTCTGTTTCCTATTTATAGCTAAAAGATATATTATTCAGCATTGCAAAGAAATATGGCCCTTAGTTGCTCAGTGGTCTGCAAAATTAATATTATGAACTTTTATTGATATAGATTATAATGAATGATTATAATGAAATCCAGCTATCATTCATTGAAATGTTTATAAGAGAATGTTTATATATGTGAATCCTTTAATAATCCTTTATACCCTGTTTGTTTCTAAAATTGTATATTATTTTCTCTTTGTTTTTGTATTCAATTAAAGTAAAAATACTTTTTAAAAAAATTGGTATGATGTAACATGAGTAAGCAATGTGTTCTTCCTTGCCCTTCTGTACCTGCCAGAATTATCTCCCTGTGGACTTAAATGATACTACCAAAACCAGAGGAAAAAAATTAATTGCATGTAAAAAGTAAAGGCTGTCAATAAAGCTAATGCAAGTTTTTTCTTCCTTTTCTCTTGAATGCAGGTGGGCTATTCTCAGTTCCTTAAAGACTTTGAAAAGCCTCTTCAAGGGGCCACTCCTTCTAGGCAGTCTAACAACCAACCCAGCAACTCTCCTGGAGTAGAAAGTTTAACCGTTGGTGAGTATCTGCTGAGAACTAAGAGTAGATAGAAAGAAATCTCGCATCATGGTTATGATGATATATTTTCTTCCTATTAAATAATTTTCAAATATTTTGTCCATTTTTTTAAAAGCAAGAAGAGGCTGAGTGCCAATTCACATTCTTATGAATTATATGGTTTTCCTTGAAAAGTTACCCAGATTGTTAGCATTGTCAAGTTTAATGTTTACCCAGTATAAAAATTATGTGGCTTCGAGACTTTCTTAAGGGAAAGATTCATGCTTTAAATAAATATTTAGTATAGTTTTTCTGTGGAATAATACATTTTTTTCTCAAATAGTATTTAGGTTTACATTCTATTTTTGCTAATAAATTAGATTGCTAAGGTATCTCTTTATCTGTCATTTCCTCAGATCAAGACAAGAAAGGAAACTTGCTGAAATGTGAGTTCTGTGGCAAATATGGCCCTGCCAGTCAGTTCCGTGGTTCCAAGAGGTTCTGTTCTGTAACATGTGCAAAGAGGTAATGATAATTGGGTATTCTTCAAATTTATGACTCCTAAAAATGTAATTTAGAGCATGAATGCCTAGATACTAAGATTGGAAAAGAAGCTTTATTTTATTTCTAAGGAACAGAAATTATGTTTTATTTCTGGTCATAATAGGTATAATGTGAGCTGCAGCCACCAACTACGTCTGCAAAGGAAAAAAATAAAAGAGCTCCAAGAAGCAAACTATGCTCGTCGTCGACGTGGACCCCGGCGCAACAGCTCTGAGATTGCTCGAGCCAAAATCCAGGGCAAACATCACCAGGTGAGAATATAGAACCACTTCTTTTTCCTACCATGTTTAGGACAGGCGGAATTAATGTGTGCTTCTGTTTTTGTGCCATGGTGCTGGGAGGCATTTTCAAACAGGGACATCTAAAGATGAATGAAGGTTGGGACCATGCAGTATCAGGACAGAGCTTAATGAAGTTTATAGCACAGTGGAAATGGCTCTATCATCTGCTTTCTTTCAGTAACGTTGCTTTAGTTGCTGTGAGAAATGAAGAAGCTATCAGGTTTGCTTACCATCTTATTTTTCTGCAATCCAACAGTGTGCCCAGCTGCTTTTTGGTAGCTACCTGAATGGAAAGAAATTCTTTTCCAAACATGTTTTTCAGAAAAGCAATGATTATTTTCCATTTCAAAGAAATTTATGCTTATGTATATTAGGATAGAGACTTTTTCATTTGTTTTCTAATTGTCCTCCTGTCATCTAGAGCAGGGGTCGCCAACCTTTTGGACCTCAGAGACCACCAAAATCATTATTTTAAATCCCGGGGACCACTAATGTGAATTTTGACTGCCATGGCTTGCTGACATTGGTGGAAGGGAAAAGGAGAGAGAGAGAGAGAGATGCGATCTAACCTCGAGAGCTAGTGATTTTCTTTCTCTTTTGCTCTCTCCCTCACACACACACACACACACCCTCCAAAGCAGCCCCATTCCTAAACTGCTTTGAGCTCTGTTCTCAGAGGGAGTGGTGGTGGTGATATTCTTTCTCTTTCTCTCTCTCCCTCACACAACCCCACCCCCTCCAAGGCAGCCCCATTCCTAGCCTGCATTGAGCTCCGTTCTCAGAGGGAGGGGGAAAGAGATCCAAGGAGGACTGGTGATTTTCTTTCTCTTTCTCTCTCTCCTTCACATACCCTCACCCCCTCCAAAGCAGCCCCAATCCTAGCCTGCTTTGAGCTCCATTCTCAGAGGGAGTTGGGGGGGGGGGGAGAAAGATCCAATCTAACTTCGAGGGTTGGTGATTTTCTTTCTGTTTCTCTCTCTCCTTCACATACCCTCACTCCCTCCAAGGCAGCCCCATTCCTAGCCTGCTTTTGAGCTCCGTTCTCAGGCTGTGTGCAAGGAAAGCAGCAGAAGTCTTTCTTTCTCTTCCCACAAATTCCGCCAGAAATCAGTCTTTGCCAGCGTAGCCTCTTGGAGCAGGATGCCTTGCAGGGTCCCAAAGACTCACTTCTGGCAGAGTTTGGGGGAGAGAAAGAAAGGCTTTTGCTGCTTTCCTTGCAAGAAGCAACCCAGGGGCCAGGCAAGTTCCCCCCTCCGCTCTTTCCCCCCTCCCCTCACTACCTCGTGTTCCTAATACAAGCAGCGCAAGCCTTGTGTTCCCCACAGCCTGGATTAATTGCTTTGGGGGGTTGCTTTGGGGTGGCATTTCTCTGCAGACCACCAAAATTTTCTTGCTGCCCACTAGTGGGCCACGGCCCACCGGTTGGCGACTGCTGATGTAGAAAATAAATAGATCTTTCAAATGTTTAGAGTTTGCTGCTCAGTTATATACAGTAAGTCTCCTGAATCATTATTATCTGGAAAGCAGCTATTATGTCTATTTCTTTTTTATCTTTCCTTGGGATTAATTGTGAAAAATTATATACATTAACCATCACAGCATTAATGCATCTTGAAAATGCTTCTGAATAAAAGCAAACTTGGAAATACAGGTAGTCCTCGACTTCAGGGGTAGGATTCTACCGGTTCTGACTGGTTCTGTAGAGCCAGTTGCTACGACTCTGCACAGTTCAGAGAACTGGCAAATTGCGCCACCTGCTGACCCCGCCTGCCCAGTGGTGGGATTCAGCCAGTTCACACCACTTCAGGAGAACCGGTTGTTAACTTTCTGAGCAGTTTGGTGAACTGGTTGTTGGAAGAAATCATTAGGGCAGAGAATCGGTTGTTAAATTATTTGAATCCTATCATTGCGCCCGCCCTGCCCCTCCTTATCTTGGCCATGTGCCATCGTTGCCTGCACTCTGCCTTCGCCCGCCCACCAGCCATGAGCCATCACTGCCTGCCTTGCGCCGCCTGATCTGAATCTGATCTGTGATTTCCCTAGGGGAGTGAGGCTGTGCAAGCTCCGGTCGCCTACATGCTGCTGCTGCCACCAGCCCCAGTTAAATCCTGACTCCTGGGCCAGCCTAGGCCGCCACCTCCATGCCACCACTGCCACCACCGCCACAAGCCTCAGTCAATTCCTGATTCCAGTCCCGGGCCAGCCTAAGCCATCAACACCATGCCACCACTGCCACCCTTGCCCTTGCCAACACTACTGCCACATATCCCAGGCTGGCCTAGGCCACCACCACCCTCAGCACTCGCAGCCTAGCTTGCTGCCCTCCCCAACATCCCCATCCTCCAGCTTGCCTGGCTTGCTGGTGGCAGAGAGGAAGGTGAGCCAGGGCTGACCCGTCGCCGCTTGGCTCCCCACCAGCCTACATCTCGCCCCCTGCCTGGATTCTCTGCAGCTGCTGGGCCTTGCCTGCTAGGGGTGGGGGTGGGGCAACCAAGGAGCACAACGCTATGCCGCCCGCATCACCCCTTTGCCTGCCGCCCCTTCCCTCTGCTGCCTGCCGGCCCGTGCACTTTGCCAAGTGCAGGCTGCTGCTGTGAGAATAGTGCAAGTCAAGCCGCGCCAGAGTGGATCTTCCTTCCCCACCATCAGCCTTACATTCCAGCCCATGGAGCTCGCACCATTTTCACAACGACAGCCTGCACTTGACTAAAACGCTTGGCCCCACAAGAGAGGGGTGGCTGGCAGAGGGGCAATTCAGGTGGCATAGCCTCATGCTCCCTGGTTGCCTCCCGCAGTCCCCCGGCATCCTTGAGCCCCAGCAGCTGCAGAGAATCCGGGCAGGGGACCTGATGCACACTGGCAGGGAGCTGAGTGGCAACGGCTCTGCCCTGACTGGCTCACCTTTCCCGCTGCTACCAGCTGCGGGAGGAAGGTAAGTTTGCAGGCAGTAGAGAAAGCCAAACCGCTCCCTAGCCCAGAGCTGCCGGCAGGGTAGGCGGGGCTGCAGCACATGCCTCGCTTGAAGTTCCCAGTCCTTTCCTTTCCCCAAAAGATGGAGGGGAGGAAGTCCCACCCGTGACCCCTTTGTTGGACCTGGAAGCCTTGCCTGATGTCTTTTCCGGGCAACACAGGACCGAGCACGATTGTCCATTTGCGCCTGGTCCCTGGGACTCTGGGAGACTGGCTGGGAAGAACCTTTGTCATGAGCGACACTGCCGGGCTCTTGAAAAATACTTGTTTGGAAGTGTGTGTGTATGTTTGTTTGTTTCAGATGGGTCTCCTAGCTTTAGAAGGCGAGAGGGAAGGAGGAAGAGAAGGGATAGAAAGAGAGGGAAAGAAGAGAGAAAGAGAGGGAAAGAGAAAGAAAGAGAGAAGGAAAAGACAAGAAAGAAAGAAAGAAAGAAAGAAAGAAAGAAAGAAAGAAAGAAAGAAAGAAAGAAAGAGAAAAAGGAAGAGAAAAGAAGAAAAGGGATATACAAAGAAAGGGGGGATGGAAGGAAGAGACAGAAAGAGAAAGAAAGAGGGAGGGAGGAGAAAGTGAGATATATGGATGGATGGATAGATAGATGCATGGAGGGAGGGAGGGAGGGGAAAAAAGGAGAGGAAGGAAGGAAGGACACAAACCCTGGCTTCAGAAGACTCTTTGAAAGAGCACAGCAATCTAGGGCTGGCCTGGAAGGGATCTCGGAGGTCATCTTCTTGTCCAACCCCCTTCTTCAGCAGGAGATCCTTACAGAATCATAGAATAGCAGGGTTGGGTTAGAAGGGTTTGTGTATGTGTGTGCCCGTGTGCATGGCTGTCAAAACTCCAAAAACAGATCAAGTAGCTCTGGGGAGGTCAGTCTTAAATTAGAACACTTGCTAAGCAACCAACCATTAAGCGAAGACCACTTGTATTTGGTTTGCCAGTCAACTGGCCATGCCCGGTCACGTGATCACCCAGCAAGCCATGCCCATCCAGTCACATGACTACTAAGCCACACCCACAAATTAAGCCACACCCACACAACGAGTTGTTAAAAAATTTGAATCCCACCCTTGCTCGACTTACAACCATTTGTTTAGTGACAGTTCAAAATTATAGTGACACTAAAAAAAATGACTTATGACCATTTTTCAAACAGCTGTTCCAACATCCCTGTGGTCATGTGTTTGAAATTTGGATGCTTGGTAATTGGCATTTATTTATGATGATTGCAGTCTCCTAGGGTCATTTAATCACCTTTTACGCACTTCGGACAAGCAAAGTAAATGGGGAAGATAGATTCACTTAACAACCGTGTTGCTAACTTAAAAACTGCAATGATCCATCTGTGGCAAAAAATGGGCAAAATTCACTTAACAACTGTCTCACTTAGCAACAGAAATTTTGGGCTCAATTTGCCTGTCCTTTTGGTACTAGAATGAGTCTTAGTGTATCAAACCCCACCATACCCGTGGGGGGGAGGTTATGGTGCTGGATTGAGGGATTCTGCCATCTGGAGTGGTGGGGAGCCAAAGACAAGCTGGCTGGCAGGAAGGTGGGCATTGCAAACCAAGCGGCCTGACATCTCAGGAGGCAACTGCTACGAGCTTCCAGGAGGTGGAGGGCGAGCCAACAATCAGCTGTTTGGAGGGGCTGGGGATCGGCAGAATGGAGGCTAATCTTCCCTGCCGAAGAACAGCTGAGAAGACTGGGTGAGGACTGCGGAGGTGAAAGGGTGTGGCTGTCCTCCTCTCCTGGATAAGATGCGCTGGGTGGTAGAGGCTCCCAGTGCTGACTTTACATCAGTTTGCTTTTTGGAACTTAGTTTAGCTACTCAACCATGCCTGGCAGTCTTAATGACTCTGCTCTATTTACATGAGTAGCTTTGTCTTTTGAGCAGTGGTATGTTTGAAATAGAAAATTTTCCAAGTTAACTGCACTCAACTCAGTGGAAACAAATTTCAAAATAACTGAAATGTTGGGTTTTTTATTAAAACAAAAAATA